CAGTCTCATAATCACTTAAGTCGGTGATCCAGCGTTAGAAGGAATTGAGAAGGAAGAGGGGTTAAGGGATTGCTGTTGCTGACTCGGGCCGAGTGAAATAAACGCCGTGAAACTAACGCCATGTGCCGCCGGAAGAACCACCTGCCAAAGCCTAGCATAAAGGCATATAGTAATTCTATTATTATATGAGATTCTCATAATGGGACGGAATTCATGAACCATTTCGATGCATTCGTTGCATTGCAATACTTAGAAAGAACGTACTGAGAGTTTTCGAATGCTGGTTCTCTTCAACATGTTCGCGCAACATAGAACATCGGGGGGACTCCCCCCGAGGGAGGGTGTGGTTTTATTCTTCGCAGCACCCTGTAAGTCCTTTTTTCCGGCCAGAGTATCAGTCGACCAACTGGTACTAGGGCTAGCCAGGCGGCCAACTTGGCCGGGCCAAGCCTACTGCTAGCTGGCCACCGAGGGGTAGTCTAGCTCATATTAGTCCAGCCTATCAGTCCGGTCCTATGCGTGATAGTATATATACTATGAGCTCCATGTATAATACATAATGTATTCAAAACTCAACAATCCTATCTGCTGTGAAAAGCGAGCATTTATGTCCAGCTAACATACGACTTCAAAATATACGCAAAATAGTTTGTGTTACTGAGGACAAGCCTTGTTGGCTAAATGAGGCTCAACAAGGTGGCAGCCTTTCACATGTGAGTCGGTGCAGCGGCAATTGGGAGTCTTAATATCTAGTGAAGCTGGATACGTGAAGGCAATACGTGATCGAATTCGAGTCGCGGGGGGCAACCTTCATCGGCTCCACAACATCTGGAAGTCCCACGACATCGGTATTCGAGGTAAGATGGTTGTGATGAGGTCCGTCGTATTTGCTTCGCTCTTCTATGGATCGGAGACTATGGCCCTCAGCAAGGAGGAGACACAAATGTATAAGACATTCTACAATACATGCTTAAGGAAAGTGATTCGGTTACCTCCGATGACGACGATGTCTTCCAAGGAGCTCTGCGCTCGTACACGTTCGGCAGGATGTTTGAATGAACTCCGTGCGAGAAGATTGAGATGGTATGGACATGTAATGAGATCACCGGATGATAACGTGGCCAAGAGATTATTAGAGTGGAACCCGAGAGTGCACAATGGATTCTCGAGGCGCCCAGGTAGGCCTCGTCAGTCATGGCTAGAGTTGATCAAACATGACATGATAGAGACAGGCATTAAAACGAGCACAGCAAAAAATAGAACTTTGTGGGAGCGGAGGATCCGTTTGGGCTGTAACATGCCGCTGAAGCATGATATGGTGTAAAAAAAGAAGAAAGTAAAAAAAGGTAAAAAAAAGAAAAAAAAAGAAAAAAAAGAAGAAAACAATGAAGAGCATGAATGCACGTTCTGCTGTGTCACAAATGTATAAGACGTTCTACAATACACGCTTAAGGAAAGTGATTCGGTTACCTCCGATGACGACGATGTCTTCCAAGGAGCTCTGCGCTCGTACACGTTCAGCAGGATGTTTGGATGAACTCCGTGCGAGAAGATTGAGATGGTATGGACATCTAATGAGATCACCGGATGATAACGTGGCCAAGAGATTATTAGAGTGGAACCCGAGAGTGCACAATGGATTCTCGAGGCGCCCAGGTAGGCCTCGTCTGTCGTGGCTAGAGTTGATCAAACATGACATGATAGAGACAGGCGTTAAAACGAGCACAGCAAAAAATAGAACTTTGTGGGAGCGGAGGATCCGTTTGGGCTGTAACATGCCGCTGAAGCATCATATGGTGTGAAAAAAAGAAGAAAGTAAAAAAAAAGAAAAAAAAAGAAAAAAAAGAGAAAAAAAGAAAAAAACAATGAAGGGCATGAATGCACGTTCTGCTGTGTATCAATGGTATCAATGCAACTATTATAGGCGCAAGCCTACTGTATATTTTTTTTCTGCTGCGCGGTCTGGTCAGCCCTATACTTGACCTCATAAACTCCGTTGCTGCACTAGGTGTAGCTCGGAGTCGCCTAGCCGTACGACGGCTGCGAGCGAGCGAGAGAGAGAGATGAGCTCCATGTATAATACATAATGTATTCAAAACTCAACAATCCTATCTGCTGTGAAAAGCGAGCATTTATGTCCAGCTAACATACGACTTCAAAATATACGCAAAATAGTTTGTGTTACTGAGGACAAGCCTTGTTGGCTAAATGAGGCTCAACAAGGTGGCAGCCTTTCACATGTGAGTCGGTGCAGCGAGGACACCAGTTTGTTGTTATTTAGACTGACGAATAAGGTGAGACAAGTAAGACATAGCAGATAGTGATGGTTGTCTATTATCTCAACAGTACCCTCTTTGCAGAATTTGAGGTATGCCCAGAAAAGCCGTCATTATAGTATCATGAGTTTTGTCGTAAATGAACCAGTGCATACCCTTACTTTTCAGCGCAGGCCCACAATAGCCAATCAAGAACTTGAAGAGCCTGTCATAATGTATCTGACTGCTTGGTGCGACGTTATAAGGATTGTTCCCTGTAACATTCAGGTTCGCACCACCAGCTTTGTGAGGTCCACAGCGGACAATATCCCAAATGGTAAAATCAGGCATAGCATCTATTTCTATGCAAAAGCCATTCGCGAGCTTCTTGGAATATGGGCCTGATGGGAAGGCTCCTGTGCACCAGACAGCACCCAGAACGAGGGTAGCTAGCAGGCTTACCATGAGGATTATTGGAAAATGAACAATAAGGCTATACAGGCAACAGTATTCGTTCCATGTTCAAGCGATGCAAACCAGTGTG